CATCGTATCATTCGTATCACGTATAAAATAATATATTATATATGTATAGGTACTTTATATAATTTATTAATGACGAATAAATGTACCTATCCATGAGGAATCTTCAGTATCAATTTTTATCGTAGACGTCGGTTCTTTTAATTTAGACAGAATAATAGACGAGAATACGAAAGAACATCCGACAACAAACGTATGGCCTGACATTAAACAAGTGCATAATATCTAAAATTGAAATGAAAATTATTCAACAAAAATAATATTATATAGATAAGAGGCATCACAATAATACATTAGTTTGTTTCATTATACTCACAAGCTTTAGATGGCGATTGAATTTAAAATTGAGCATTATTAAGAACAGTGTTCTTCAAAAAATGTARCGATGTGGTGATGATACAATAATTATTTGGCCACCGTATATAGAACTATACATGACAGCTCAGWCTCGGCTAATGATAAACTAGACGAGAAGCGTAATAATTTCAAATAATTGTTTGTTGTGAATTAATAATAATTATTTGCATATTGTTTCGTGCGTATCGTATGCTTCTTAAAATTTATGAGATAGTTTCTATTGTATACAAAATCGTAAGAGATATCGATAATGAAACTATAACGTTGTTAAATACATTACACTGATTAATATAATTCAAACTGTAAATACATGAAAACAATTACCTATATGTTAAATTTTATAATTATTGAAAACTTCATGTGTATTATTTTATAATTATTGAAAACTTCACCTCATCCTGTTAAGTCGCCGGAAACAGTGCAAGATTAAACTTTAAGCTCTGATACAGTAAGTCAACACACGAAGTGACATTAAAAATGGGTTATATTTATTATAATAATTATTCAAATAATTATACAATATTATGTAATGATATAATATTGTTATATTGTTCTGCAAGAAGACTCMGGTAAAAACGTGATGATTAATCRTGATAACTATTTTATTGATGTAGATTTAGACGGAATTAATATTAGTAGTGGGCAGTGGCATTAAAATATTATAAATATATACATATCATATTATGGAATTATACTATCAATATTTATTTTTGACTGAAATACTTCATATTATAATTTTACTTTAACTTTGTATAATTAGGTATATTTGMTTATCGTTTATTTCCATATATATCTGTTATCACACTATTATTACAATTAAAAGCAACCTAYCATAAATCGAGTTTTGTTAAAATATTATGAAGTATATTGAATTGATTAGAGTATTATTCTGAGGAACTCGTGATTTAACAAATTTTTGATGAAAAAATGTCTAGAAGAAATAATACTACCTAATGTAACATACTATTGAAGTATAAGGCTTAGATACATACGATGTATGTTACCAAATATACAGTTRTTATTTGTGCTGCTGGTGTGCGCTAGTCTCATATTTCATGTTTGTAACAATTGATACCCAATAATAAATAATACTGATATTTTAAAATACACGAGAATAAAAAAACTGATATTATAAAATATA